AGCTAAATACAAGGTAGTTTGGGAAGGACACCAGCAATTGGGGGGATCAGGAAGGGCTTCATGCAGAAGATGGTGTTTGAATTGTTCCTTAAAGGAAAATCAAGATTCCATGAGGTAGGAACAAGGAGGGAGTACATTCCAGGATATGGGGAGGTGAGGAGTCAAGGGTAATGCTAAAGTTACAACCCTGGGAAACAAAAGTATGGTGGTGTCTTCAAAAGAAATAGGGAAGTTTGAAAGAGAGGAGGGCTGGGAAGAAAATATAATGAGTTTGTTTTTGTACATGTTGAGTCTGAGATGTCTCTGAGACATCTAATTTGAAATGTCTAACAGGCAACTGGTAACACGGGACTAAAACTCAGGGGAGATTCATAGGTTAGATATATAGGTCTGTGAGTCCTGGATAGAGATGGCAATAAAACAATGAGAGTTGATAAGGTTACCAAGAGAGTTTAGAGGGAAAAGAAAAAAAGAGTTTAAGACAGAACCTTGTGGTACACCCACAGTTGGGTTATTTGATAAGGATGATGAACTAGCAGAAGAGATTGTAAATGAGCAATCTGATGGGTAAGAGGAGAACTAGGAGAGAAGGTGTCACAAATACACAGATTAGAAAGAGCGTCCAGGAAGAGAAGGTTGTCAAAAGCATCAAATACAGTAGACAGGTCAAACAGGATGAGCACTCAAAAAAGATGATCTGGCAGCTAACAAATCACTGATAATTTTGAGTAGAGCAGTTCTGGTTGAGTGAACAAGAGCAGAAGTCAGACTGCAAAGGATTAAGGAGTGAGAGCACTGTAAGCGGAGACCAGAGACAGCTCCTTCTAGAAGTCTGACTCACAAAAAGAGGAAAGGTATAGGACTATCACTGGAAGGGTGGTAGGGACACTTAGTCATGCTTCAAGACAATAAGGAAGGAACCAAAAGATGAGAGAATAATTGCAGTTGCAAGCTGCAGGAGAAGAGTCCCTGCAAGCACACATGCAGAGGGCTGGTCTTGGCAAAGAAAAGAGCCATCACTTTGTCAGAGACTGAGAGAAAGGAGGTGAAGGCAAAGGGACAACATCAAGGGGTTTGGAGACGAAGATAAGGGGAGAAAAAGGAGTTCATGTGGAATGTCCTCCACTTCCTCAGTAAAGTAAGTGGCAAGGTGTCCCAATGAGAAAGAGGAAGAAGGGGCAGGTGCAAGCATCTTAAGGAAGGAAAAGGAGGCTTGGAATAGTGTTGGTGGAGAGTGAGATAGGGAATCAGTTGGGAGAAATAAAAAGGTTGCTTTGCTGCAGTGAGAACCCAACACAAATTCATAAAAAACACAGATCATAGTTGTTTTACTTCCTGCAGTCTTCAGCAGCCCAGAAGTAGGAAGGCGCAAAGGAGGTGGGTGAGGGGAATAATCCATGACCAACTGATCATACATACCATGTGTCAGAGAATGTGAAAAAAAAAAGTTGGAGGAAAGAGTTGCCCATAAGCAAAATAGAGTGATGGAGCAGTCAAAACTCGAATGCAAGAGCTACAAAATCTATCAAATACTTGGGAATTAACCCACCACACACAAAGGATAATAGGAATAGAATTACAAAATAGTCTTTACAGGAATAAAGGATGACGTGAATGACTGGAAAGAATGTTTATTATTCAAAGGCAGACATGCCAGAGTAGAGAAGGTGCTGAGCTCAGAATCAGACACCCCTCAAAACCAATCTCTGACACTTCCTGACTCTGAGACCCTGGAAAAGTAACTTAGCCAGTGATGCTCCTTCCTTCCCAAAAGCTCCTGCTTCGTCTCCCTGCTGCCATATTTCCCTGCCTCCAGCCATCCTCCTATACCTGAGGTCTGACAAGGGCAGTGTTCTACAAGCAGCTATTATATGTTTCATTGAAACTGGCCTGCTCCCTGTTCCCCATATATAACATGCTGTCTCCTGCCTCCACACCTTTGCATAGGCTGTCCCTCTTGTCTGAAATGCTCTACTAACTCGCCTCCCCCTTCTGGAATCTCTAGTTGGCTTCAAGTTTCAGCTCTGATGACACCTCAAACACAAGGTCTCCTATCGATCCCTCAGTATCAAACTTCAATTACTTTGCATATGTTTTATATTTCTCATCTGTACATATTTTATTTTCCCCAAGGACTATTTCATTTTTGTCTTCATATTCCTAGCACTTTGCACAATGCCTGGCATGTGTAATAATTAAGTGCTTAATAGACAGTTACTGAATTGCACAGGGGGAGTTCATAACTTCATAGATTTAGAATCCAAAAATACATTAGAATTCATCAATTCTAAACCCTTCATTTTACTCAGAAGAAGGAGGAGGAAGAAGAAGAGGAAGAGGAGAGAATGAAGAGGAGACAAGAAGGCAAAGGAGCCAAGCAGCATTTATATAGCATCTATTACATGGCAGGCACCGTGCTAAGTGCTTTACATACATCATCTGATTTGATCTTCACAACTACCACAGGAGGTAGGTGCTGTTATTATCTCCATTTTACAGATGAAGAAACTTGCCCAGGGTCACACAGCTAGTAAGTTTCTGAGGCCAGATTTGAATGGAGTTCTTCTCGACTCCAGGGCTGGGGCTCCACCCACTGCACCCACTTGTCCATGGTAGTACAAGTACTAAGTAGAATAGAGAGAATTTCAACTCCAATTCTAGTATCTTTTCTATTGCACCATGCCGCCGCACTACCAGAAGTTCCCTGCACAGATGAAAGCAGAGACATTCAAATATTTGTATATTCTATTCATGGTTCCTGACTGGACCATGCTAACAGCATAAAAATGATACTATGTAAACTAATTTAGAGATTAAGTGTTAAAACAATCAAATTTTATAGAACTAGGAAAAAATGAGACTCATTTGAAAGAACAAAAGTTAAGGAATAAGTGGGGGGGGAAGGAGTGGGAATCAATGGGACTTAACATTGCTAAATTTAAAAATATGTCATAAAGTAGTAATCATCAAAATTATTTGGAAAGGAAAGTAAATTAGTGCAGCAGACTAGAAAAGCAAGGGCTAGAAGGAAACAATCATAGCGGCACATTATCTAATAAACAGAAATATAAGGGGCAGCTAGGTGCAGTGGATAGAGCACTAGCCCTGGAGTCAGAAGGACCTGAGTTCAAATCCAGCCTCAGACACATAACATTCACTAGCTGTGTGACTCTAGGCAAGTCACTTAACCCCAACTGCCATACACACACACACACACACACACACACACACACACACGTACACACACATACAAAAGAAATATAGAAAGTACAGGGAGAAGGACTTTCTCCCTCTCTCTGATGCTCAGAAACAATGCTGAGAACAGTGTTAGAAAATAGACAGGGTGTCCCAAAAATCTCAATGCAGTTTTAAGCTACTTAAATTATTCAAGCCTAAAAATTCAAAGCCTCAAACAAATGAGCCTTTTGTTTCTTATATTTCTTCCTTGAAAAATTTTTATTCATATCCACTAGCCAACTATCTATTGGGAAATGTCTCAATAATATATTTGTTTCAATTCCCTCTATTGCTCTATTATCATATTTTTATTTGAAATGTTTGTAGCAAGGATTGTTCACAGGCAACAGTTTTTCTTATGGTTCAAATTATACTGATTATGTTAAAAAAAAAGTCATTCAATTTTATATAATTAAAATTTTCTGTTTTGTCCTTAATGGGACACCCTGTATTTAGATCAGACTCTTTTCACCATATAATCTAATAAGTGATAAATGGATAAAGGACCTAAATGTAAAAGGTCACACCATAAACAAATTAACATAAAATGGAATTGAGTCCCTTTCACAACTGGAGACAACTTGTGTCAGAAGGGTAATTCATAACCAAAAAAAGAAATTGAAGAGAATGCAACAGATAAAACAGAAAATTTTGATTACATAAAATTGAATAATTGCTTTTTACAACATCAATATAATTTGAACAGTAAGATAAAACTATCGACTGTGAACAATCCTTACTGCAAATATCTCAGATATAAATCTGAGAGCTGAGCTATATAGGGAATTGACACAAATCTATAATTAAGAGCCATTTCCTAATAAATAATTGGTCGAAGGATATAAACAAATAGTTTTCCAAGGAAGAAATACAATAAACAACAATGTAAAAAACATTCCAAGTCACTAATGATAAAGCAAATGCAAATTAAACCATCACAATTACTAAAGAAGAAAAGACTGTTGGAAGGGCTGGGGGAAGACAGGCAGTTTGGCACCCAACTGGCAGAATCACTGATTGGTGAAAGCACACTGGAAAACAACTTGGAAAAAGGTGAGAAAAGTTACAAAACAGTTTGTACTGTTTGTCTTCCAGATCTCACTTCTGGGCATGAGACACAAGGAACAGCCCTGTAAGTACAAAAATGTCCACAGCAGCACTCTCTGTGGCAACGGAATTTGAAAACAAAGCGAGGGTGCCCAGTGATTAGAAAATGGGTGAAATGATCTATGAATACACTGAAATATTATTAAGAAATTATAAATATTAAGAAATTATATAAAATAATAAATGCAGAAAATCTAGAGCAACATCAGGAGATTTACATTCATTTGATGCAGAGCAATGAATGTTCTGGCCAACCTAGAATCACACAACTACAATAACATAAAAAAAAAAACACAATGCCAAATGACACCAGGATTCAGGTTAATAGGTGTCTGTCCCCAGAGGCAGACAGTACAGATTGGCAATGTCTTCTCTCCCATGAGGGAATCCAAGATGGCAGCACTGAGAGAGCACATGGGGGACTGAGTCTATCAGCTCAAATATCTTGCCTGAGAATGTGCCCCACTTTACAGCAGCAGCACTAGAGAATCTCTCAATCAGCATGTGTCTTGAAGGGTAACCTTCCTAGCCAGGCTCCCTAGGCATGCTCTAAGGGCACAAAGCCAAAACATTTTTATAGAGTAATTATTTCTCTGCTGAAAAAAAAAATTCAGGACATTTTACCCAGAGTTATAAAGTTAATCAGACATTCTTACCTGACTAGCTACAAGGTAGATGAGCTCCCCAAGGGTTGGTAAAAGGCACTGTTTTAATTTGCTGTTCCTGAAGTTTTCTCTAATTAGTTCAGTTAAGAGAGTAACTGCCTGAAGAGAGAAAAAAGTAAACAAAATATATTATCACATTTGCTCTAGCCTTTAATCTATATATAAAGGATAATTCACTCTACACAATTTGCCCTCTATTTTCTGAGTTAATTTAAAAACAGAGCCAGGATAGGCACCATATTCTAGAATGAAATGCAAATACATCTGTGTGGGGAAAATTATCTGGTGAGGTAACATACCAAAGCTAAAGCATTCAGCAACGGTAAGTGAGATAACACCTCACCAAGAAGGCTCCAAGCCCCTCCAGTTTTCCCAAAATTCAGGAGTCACCATTGCACCAGGTACTCAATCACCTGGAACAGAGGTCTGTGGGGACATGCTCTACAATGCCAACACTACAAGCAGAACCTGGGGTCTGCTCATTCAACAGGTTCTTCCACATCATAAATTCTGACTATTCAATACTCTACCTCCCCTATGTAACACATTCCTCAGCCTGGCCTCCCCTTCACCCTCCTAGTCCCCAATCCCAAGCAGTCAGCATAACTGTCACAGGTACCAAGTATATGCTCCTATCCACCAATCATCAACAAGCATTACTGAACACCTACTACGTGCCAAGGCACTGTTAGGTGCTGGGAACACAAATACAAAGAATGAGACAGTCCTTAAATGCACAGAACTTATGTGTGAATGGAGAAGACAAAAGGTACATATGTAGATATGGAGAATAAATAAACAAAGGCAAGAAATACAAAGAAATGCAGATTATTAAACATAAGGCCGTTTGGGAGGGACGGAACTAGCAGTTGTGGGGACCAGGAAAGACTTCAGGCGGCAGAGGATATTTGGCCTAGGTCTTGAAGATAAAGAGGGACTCTGCTGGGGGGAGGTGAGGGGCTTAGGGGACAGCCTGTACGAAAGCATGGCCCCAAGCGACATTTTATAAAAGGAAAAGGGTATGGATCACAGAGCACAGGAGAGCAAGTAATAAGCCAATGAGGTGGGAAAAAGAGGTTGAGACCAGGTTGTTAAGGGCATTAAAAGCTAAAAAGAAGACCTGATATCTTATCCTAGAAGACACAGAAAGCTCCAGGAGTTGGATCAGTGAGGGAGTCACCTGGTCAGATCTTTGCTTAACCCCTCTGGCACTAGGATGACTAGAGTAGGGAGAGACATGAGGAAGGAAGGCCAATCAGGAAACTCTTGTAAGAATCCAGGCGAGAGGTGAGCAGAGAAAAGGGGTCAGATTTGAGAGACAGCACAGAGGTGGAAATGCCCAGGGCTGTCCACAGATTGAATACATGGGGTGAGAGAGAGCATGAAGTCAAAGGTAGTGCCTGCGTTACAAGGCTGGGAGATGGAAAGGTTGGTGGTGCCTTCTAGAGAAATGAACAAGTTTGGAGGAAGGGAAGTTTTACGAGAAGAAAATAAGTACAATTTCGGATACAATGAGTTTGAGATGTGTCTAGGATATCCAATTTGAACTGTCCAAAGCACAATGGTGGCCATAGTTGGCTCATTCTATGAGATGCCAAGTAACAGGTTTGAACACAACAATACAAGACTATACAATTATGCAGAGAGGCAGCATGACTCAGTGGTTAGAAGGCTGACTTCTGAAGCACGAAGACCTGGGTTCAAGACCTGCCCATTACACCTACTGGCTTAATGACCTTGGGCCAGACTTTTCATATCTCAATGCCCCCTGGCCTCAGAGGTTGCAGGGTGGTTGTAGATCTGCTTTGGTAAAGGAAATTTCCTCACAGAGAGTTCCCTAAACTGATGAAATCCCAGTTTTAGACAATGAAAAAAAAAAGCAGGGCTAAAAAGAAAAATAGTCCTAATAGAAATTACAGATTCCTGTCATTAATGAAAAATTTTAAAATTACTTTATACCAACAGCAAATTCAGCTCTGTACAAAATATAGACATGATCAGAAACCGTGCTCTGAGTCAATGAGAAATCCTTCAGTCTTGAACAGAAAGAGAACAAGAGCTTCAGGGCAGGGTCATTCTTCTAATCACAAGAGACTCAGGGGAACTCCTCAAGGAATTCAGTAATGGAAAGACAGCTCTAACAACTATTGTTTAAGAATTCTGTGTACTGCATAGATTGTTGCTCAAACCTCCAACATAATTAAAATGTTAAAAAACATGCAAATTCATACCCAGTGACACAATAAACTTCTCTTTGGAAAAGCTTACTTCTTCCCAACAAATTAATTCCTCTCCAAGAGCCTGAGGATATCATGCACTTAAATGTCTTGATAATATTTTTTATTAGATATGTACTTTCATTGGTATAAGGAACTACCAATGAGAAAGCTCTTTCTACTCTTGGGTATCATCACCTACTCTGCCAGAAACAGTCTTAGAAAACCAGCTGGGGTGATGAGAGGTTGTGACGTGTCCACTGTCACACAGCCAGGGTGTGTCAGATGTAGGACTAGAAACCAGGCCCTCCACACTCCAAGGTTGACACTCCATCCTCTCTATCAAACTGTCTCTCTCTACAACTAAATGGTCTTGAATGGCTGTATTCAAATATCTTTAAAGACTATAAACTGTTCTCCTCACAACAACCCAGAGGGGTAGACAAGGCAGTTTACAGATAAAGAGACTGAAGTTCAAAGAGGTGACTCACTTGTCCAACATCATACAGGAAGTAAGGAGCAGAGCTCGAACCCAGACTTTCTAGCTCAGTGTCCAGTGTTCAGTCCATTCGCTACCCTGACTCTGCACCTAAGTTCATGCACTTCGAGTTAATAAATGTTGATTAAGCACCTACTATGTTCTAGTACTATGTAAGGCACCTGAAATATAAAAACAACATCATTCTCTGCCCTCAGGGAGCTTGCAATCTATTGCTGTGTATAAGCAGATAATGAAATACAAAATATATAAAAACTCATTTCAAGAGAAAGAGAGAACTGACAATGGCAGGGGAGGGAAGAAATCAGGCCAGGCGCTGTGTAGGAGATAGATAGTGCCTGGGCTGTGCTCTCAAGAAAACAATGGACATAGGGGTGGAGGGAAAGGGAAGAGCCAGCAAGCATTTATTAAGCTCCTCCTATGTTCCAGGCATTGTGCAAAGTGCTAGGGATATAAAGAAAAAGTGAAAACATGCCCTGCCCTCAAGGAACTTACAGTCTAACAAAGGAGACGAGCACAGATACAGGAATATGTTGGATCAAAAGATCAGATCTACTGCTGGCAGGGACTGAGGAGACCATCTAATTTAACTTCGTTTTTCAGACGAGGAAACAGAGACTCAGGGAGGTTAAGTCATTTGCTGAAGGTCACACAAGCAGTGTTAGGAAGGGAAACTGAACCCAGATCCTCTGACTCCAGAGCCCATGCTCATTCCATTGTACCACACTGCCCAGAGAAGGCACAGCCAGAGGGGCCAGGAGGATTTGAACCTGGGTGAGGAGAAGAATGGGAATGCTCTGAACAGAAACATGGAAGACTGGACGAGTTTGGGGATACATTTAATGAAAGATCTGTTAGATGAGCAAGGTTTAAGGGTAGCTCGGATGGAGATGTCCAGCAGGCAGCCAGTAAATGTAGAACTTGGTTTGGGGGAGTAATAATTCTGAATGAGGAGAGAGTGGAAGATGAACAAGAATGGGCTTGAGGTATAGAACAGGGGATGAGGAAGCCCATGCTGAATGGCCTCCTTCTCCATAAAGTAGAGGAGAGGCCCTGCTAAGGAGACGTGAGAGGAGATGGCCTAAAATACAGGAGGAGAGAGGTCTGTAATGGGCACTATTGGGTATGTGAGAGAAAACAGGGAAAAATAGAAACACAAGAATTTCACATGCCTTTTATGACTTGGAGGTGGGTAATTCTATGAGGAACTAATCTTGTAGTATGCCATTCCAAGTTACCTCTTGCCATAATGGTTCCCCATTCCTAGTCATCTTGGTCCAACTAATTCTTCCTGAAACAACATTTAAATTTTTTTTTCTTAAAGTTTTTTTGTTTCTTTTTAAACACGTTCATTTCCTAATGACTCCTCCACTCTCTCATAGGACTTTCTCTTAGAGCAAATAAATACAATCAAGCCAAACAAATTGATACATTGGCCATGTACAAAAATGCATACTTCATACTGCTCTCGTAATCTACCACCTCTATGCCAGGTAAGATTTCTATCAGTCCACTGTAGTAATGATGAGTTATCATATCGATAAGAGTTCATCTTTCCATGGTGTTTCCCTTCACTTTGTTGGGATCATCATGTAAACTGTTCTGATTCTGCTTAATTCTCTTTACATCAGTTCATACAAATCTTCCTTTCTTTGTTCTTCACAGTCATCATTTCTTGTAGTGCAACAATATTATATCATGTCATCTCCATATTTACTAACTCCACAACCTGTTCAGCTATTCCTTAGTTGATCGGTATCTGATTATCTTCTAATTCTTTGTTACTACAAAAAAAAATTCTTTGTTACTATTGCTATAAATACATTTAAAGTTATGGGACTGCTCTCTCTCTCTCTTTAAATTTGTAAATACTCCATAGTAGCATTTTTGGGTCAAAGGTCATCTATAGTTTAGTGACTTTTCAAAAACAAATTTCAAAATTATTTCCCAGAACAACTGGACCAGTGAGGTGGATTTTTTGGACATATTACAAGGGAAATGAGAATATATCCAATCATTAATAATATACCAGAGTAATCAAAAGTGAGTAAAAAAATTACCCATTCCCTCAGTTAAGTCATATCAAACTCTAAGCTATTCTCTGTAGTTACAGTTCCTCAGACTTAGTTCACACTACTCCTACTCTACCCCAAAGCCCCCTGAAAGCACCACAGGAGAACAGCATCTTTCACCCCAGAATATCCTGAAACCAATTCACCTCTGGAGGGATTTCGATCAAGAATGTTGCTCTGCTCCCTCTGAGATGAGTCAGAAGCTTCCTGACAACAGGGCACGTGTGGAGGTATTCTTCCCATATTCCTACTTAATAACTTACTATCTAATTTCCCCCCAGTAAGTGAACTGAAGCATATGAGGTCACAGAA